CATGGGCACCCTCCCCATGGACCCCCTCCCCATGGGCACCCTCCCCATGGGCATCCTCCCCATGGACACCCTCCCCATGGGCACCCTCCCCATGGGCACCCTCCCCATGGACATCGTCGTCATGGTGATCATTTCCATGACCATAGACCCTGTGACCCACCACCCTATAACAAAAGTACCCGTGATCACCATCACCCTGACCCACCACCTAGGCATTCGAAAGAAAGAGGCCCAGGTAAAAAACACTTTATCTCCCAATGGAGACCAATTAGATATGTTTACCGACTCCCCCCACTAAACAAAGGTGAATTTCTTCCTCTTCCTGAAGCCAATTTTCCCAGGTGGTCACTGCCAAACCAAAACAATCCTCTAAAGCCAGAGATTCAATCCTTTCCTCAATCAGCCTCTGAATCATGTCCAGAGAAGTTCAGTAATGAGTTTCTACATCTCTTAAAGTTTTTTGAATATACAAATCGAAAATAAAATCTGATTTTCTTGAAGAAAAAAAAATGAATAGTGTTCTGAATTAGAACTATAAATAAAAATGTGATCAGTAATAAATGCAAAAATTACAAGTTATTTACATACTACATATTACAAGTACTTTCATACTCAGAATAGAGTGAAATGTAGATTGGGGAAGAAATGGCAGAAGAGAGAGAGAAATTGAAAGGAGAGGAAAGATCTCAGGGCTTCAAGTTAATAGTTGATCCTGACACTCACCACTACATCATTTCAGGCATATCTCCAATCCTCCTAATTTCTTTCTTTCTTGGACTCAACTCTTTAATTCTAGAGTTTTTTCTATGTTACTGCTTATGCTATAGTTGGGCATACCAAGAAGTTGTGTATCACTTAAAGCGTTATTCTTATGTTACCCAAATTTTCTCCCACTGTTTATTTTTTGTCATCTAAATTTTCTTTGAAAAAATAAGTTATAAATCCAATTATGAAACACAATTTTTGGCCTCCCTGGATCTGGGTTTTACCTTTCTCTACTCTGCATTCAGTCAGCCAACCCTACATTCAGACACTGATGCAGTCATGAATCATAACCATAAATTCAGGTGCACAAGAAATTTCACTTTTTTTCTGAACAAATTGATTTCTATTTCAGGTTGCCATCCTGCTGGGCTAATGGAAAACTTAATCCCAGTCCTTTTTGGAGTCTCCTCACCCTGTCACTCCCCACACAAGGTTGCATCACAGTTCTAGAATCTCATAGATTGGCAAGGTGTCTGGTGGTGGGCCTGGGAAGGAGGTCTGATTCTTGATCATTGGTCCACTAGGTCCTGCCTGCTGAGGGACACCCACTACCCTGTTCCTATCGCTCCTTGGGTCTAGTTTAACCACTTAGGTTAATAATTCATAGTATTATCCTCCCTCAGAAGCATTTGAGTAATATTTTACCATTTATAAAGTACTTTTACAAACATTGCTTAAGTTAGTGAAAATACTGCCTAGAAAACATAAAAGCGGAAGGCTCTCAACACAGAATTTGATTGCTGTCTCACGTAACAGTTTAGTGTGGGTTATTGCAGATGGCCATCCACGTGGTGATTCAGGGTCTCAGGCTTCTTTCATCCCGTGGCTTTGCCCTTCTCGTGGGCCTCAGTGTTTTCTCCTGGATCCTCTATACCTAGCCCACATAGGGAAAGAGTAGAGCATCACAACCCGGGGGGGCGGGGGTTATGGTCTAGACCCAGAAATGGGATACATAAGGTATCCTCACATTTCATTGGCTAGAACTCAGTCACATGGCCACACCTTACACAAGGAAGGGTGGGAAATGAAGTCTAGCTGTATGCCAAGGAGGAAAGGAAAATGAGTTTGATGAATACCTAGCCAGCCACTGCCACCCTCAACATTTTTTTAGAGAGTGATTAGACCCAAAGAGGACCTTATAGTTAGTAAATTGTGATACTGGGATTCGAACCCTGATCAGCCCTCCTTCAAAGCCACACTCTATCCTCTTTATTACACTGCCTGTATTTACTCCGAGTCCTGTTTTTTAGTCTTTATTTGAGACGCCCGCCATATGGAACCTTAACTTCCAACTCCTCCTGGACCAAGCCCCATGGTCATTTCCTCACTCCCCAAGCTTCAGTTTCTCCATCTCTGATGCTCCCCTTTCCTCTCAGCCTAGGAACTTACCAGTCTCTTTCACCCGTATTTTTTTTTCCCTACATCTCCCCATTAAAATCTACCTTGTACTATCACCATGCACCTGAAACCAGAGCTTCTAACTGAGTTTGTTCTCGTTCGAACCCTTGCTGAGAATTTGCATTTCTAACAAGTTCCAGGAGATGCTAATGCTGCTGGTTAGCGACCTGTTCTGAGAGCCGCTAGTAGAGCAGTGGGTCTCCAAATTTATTACACATAAGAATCACCTTGTGATCTTGTTAAAATTTAGATTCTGATTCAGTATACCTAGGGTGGAAATGTAAATTCTCAGAAGGAGCTCGAACCGGAACAAACTGGTTCTAAGCCCTTCCTGAAACTGCTTCACTTTAAGACAAAGATTCTTAACTATCCCACTCTAATAAAACCCATTGCGGTCAAGTCGATTCCAACTCACAGTGTCCGTAAAGGACAGCGTAGAACTGCCCCATAGGATTTCCAAGGCTGTAATCTTTACAGAAGCGGATTGCCACATCTTTCTTCTGTGAAGTGGCTGGTGGGTTAGAACCACTGACGTTTTGGCTAGCAGCCGAGTGCTTTAACCACCGCACCACCAGGGCTCCTTTTTCACTCTAATAGCAGTTGTAATCTGTAAGAACTAGTTACCAGGCTCTGTACATAGTGGATGGAAACCCTGGTGGTATAGTGGTTAAGAGCTCAGGCTGCTAACCAAAAGATCGGTAGTTTGAATCCACCAGACCCTTCTTGGAAACCCTGTGGGGCAGTTCTACTCTGCCCTATAGGGTCGCTACGAGTCAGAGTCACTCGATGGCAACGGGTTTGGTTTGGTTTTGGTACGTAATTGTACATATATTGCCTCATCTACTCCTCCAAACAAAATTAATATAGGTACTATTTTCTCCATTTTACAGATGAGGAAACTGAGGCTTAGAAAGGTCAGGGTTTATAGCAATTAAGAAGCAGAGTTAGATTGGAATCCAGATTTAATGTACTGCCAAACTCATGTTCCTGCTACTCTGCTTCAAGGCCACCATGCAGCCCACACTAACCCCTGTTTTTCCAGAGGCTGTCAGGGGGACTGAATCACCAAGGTAGAAATCCTACCACCCACAGAGAAGTCTACTTTTTTTTTGGTAAGAATTGAGGGCAAACATCTACTAAGGGCTAACCCAAATCTTTAACGTATCCACAGACCTCCTCTTCCTAAAGAGTCTAACTTTATCACGAAGGTTGCTTAGGCCTAGTGAGGGAAAGACACCCATATCCACCTAAACAGAGGCAAGAAGCAAAAGCAGGGGCTGTGGGGCTTCACACAAGACATCTATCTGTGCTTGGGCTTCTCCTCTGCCTCGTCCACCCTGGGGAGCGCTTTCCTTTACAGAACTAACACAGTCAAGTGGTAAGAGGCTGGATGGGCCAGAGACCAGATCCAAACCCTTTGCCATGGAGTCAATTCCAACTCATCTCGACCCTATAGGACGGAGGAGAACTGCCCCCAGAGGGTTTCCAAGGAGTGGCTGGTGGATTCGAACTGCCGACATTTTGGTTCGCAGCCAATCTCTTAACCACTGGGCCACCAGGGCTCCCAGGACGCCCATATTTTATTTTCAGTTGTGCCAGTGTCTTGGTTTGGGACTCTCAGTGCTCACTCGATGCCTCTGAACACGGTCTTCCCCAGGCAAGCAGTCTGACTGATAGCAGCCTGTTTCTATGCAAATAGTCTGCAAGGAAATTCTACTGTGAAAGGTGTTTCTGCAGCCTGTGCAGAGTGCTGCATTGTGGTTATACGCAGGGACCTTTTTAAATGCATTTGGGAAAGTTACAAGGAAGTAACTGAGCTGGTTGGTGGTTTTTTTCCTCTTTTTAGATGCTGCTCTGATTTGCTCCATAAAGCAGGTTGTGTGATTTTTTGGAAAGGTGCTCTGTGCGTCTCCCCCATCCCTCACCCCGGTGCTTCTAAAATGCAAACAAGCAGGTCAACAACCCCAGTGTTGTAATGTTCCAGCCTGAAACCTGTTTGGATAACCCAGCAGCGTTATTTGCCCTTCTGGAATAGGGCAAACAGTGCTCGGCAGCAGGAATCCCAGCAGGCCCACCGCGTGCTGAGGCAGAGAGAAGCGGGCAGAGGAGATAAGGAGCTGGAGACGGTCTTGATGAAACCATCCCTCAACAGCTAGAGGGAAGACTGTTAAATCATGAAACTAATCACCATCCTTTTCCTCTGCTCTAGGCTGCTGCCAAGTTTGGCTGAGGAATCCTTCTCGAAGGAAATTGACTGCGACAATCAGGAGGTATTTCAGGCTGTGGATGCCGCTCTGAAGAAATATAATGGTCGAAACCAAAGTGGCAACCAGTTTGTATTATACCGCATAACCCAGGTCACCAAGACGGTGAGTGAGCTGTGTTTGACTTTGAGGTCACTTGGGATTTGTGCTGTCCCACGGAGTCCAGGTCTTTTGCTTTCCCCCACTCCCCCACCCGCAAGACTTGATAATCATGGTCGAAGCTTATACCTTGGAAAATGCCAGACTCTCTGGTCTGGGAGGGCAGCGCGTGACTCCTCCTGGGACCACTAATGCCTGCCTGGATGATCAGAGAGGAAGTTTGCTCAGGTTAAGTGAAGCAAAGGTAAATGAACAAAAAGGACTAAGCTGAATGGGAGATCTAGGAACTCAGGAAGTTGCAGCAGGAGGATTCGCTGTCTGGCCCTAGAGTAAGATGCAAATAAAGGCCCCCACACCTCAGAGGGGGAGGGGCTCTTCAGAACCTGAGAGGAGACGGAAGTGAGATCAACATGGCTGAATGCATCCAGTTTAACAGCAGCGTTATAGATGGTTTTAATATTTTTTTAGCACCGCAGTGATGCACGTGCAATGATCCCGGCAGGATGTGTGATACAGAGAAACACAAAGCTTCCAAGTGTTTGTGTAAATGAATTTCACCTTAAAGCGTTAGGCGTCTGGGATGGTAAAGTCATTGCTTACTTTAGAGGGAAAGAAAAAAATCCAGTGTTTGACATGAAGAGGATTAAGAAGCCACAGTTGACGTGTTTTTAATTTTTTTTTTCTGAGAGTAAAATCGTGGCATTGTGTTTCACGATCCAGAGCGCTCATGTGAGGAGTTCCAGGTTCATAAGTTCCAGACGAAACGAAAATGACCCTCCAGCCTTCCCCGAGCTCCCACGTGACAGTTTGTTGGTTTTGTCTCCATTTGCTGATATTTGTGGCAAATGTGGGGTTTTGTTCTAAAACGAGCATACAGCCACTTGTTTCTTCTTACTTCCCCCTGTGAGCACAGCCTATACCACACCACCGACCGCTCTAGAGACCCAGATGATTGCAATCCGAGGCCTGGAAGGAAACTTCGAGACTTTCTTGTCTGACTCCGCTCTCTCCCAGACGCAAAGACTGTGACCCAGCAGGTGCTGAGAGAGTTCGTCTCAGGGACTCAAGACCCCAGGGACCTGGCGCTGGCGCTGCCTTTCCTTATGGCAGGCTGCGTGAGCCTTCCTGCCCTGTCCCCTGGTCCCTCCCATCTCTCATCTGCAAAGTGAGGGGCTGGGCGACATCACCTCTCAGGTCCCTTGCTGCTGTGACTGTGCCAGGATTTGGCATCTGAAAGCTCACCTAAAAGCAGCACAATAGCACTTTAAAACTCTTATTTATTATTTTATGACCTCCAAAGGAAAAAAAAAATGAAACAAAGCAAATGCATTTATTAAAATCCCTTAATCCCAACCTCCAGAGATAACTGTTCACTTTCTTTTTTTCAAAAATGAAAAAAGACCTCTTGTTGTTGTTTTTCTGCTTGTAGAAGTGAGATGTGTTTGAATAAGAAAGTTCGAATAAGAGAGAAAAGAGTAATATATGTTTGTTAAAAGGAAGTCAGACAACAAAGGAAGTTTTATTTAAAGAAGAAAATGAAAGTCTACTGTAATCCCACCACTGAGAGACAAACTCCCAACAGCTTGCTGCATCCCCTTCCAGACCTTTGTAGACATATATGTATATATGGGAGCCTGGTGGCGCAGTGGTTAAGAGCTCAGCTGCTAACCAGAAGGTCGGCAGTTCAAATCCACCAGCCGCTCCTTGGAAACCCTGTGGGGCAGTTCTACTCTGTCCTGTAGGGTCGCTATGAGTAGGAGTCGACTTCACGGCAATGGTTTTTTTTTTTTAAGAATATATAAATTGGCTTTTAAAAAAATGAGCTAATACTGTGATTACTGCTTTTAAACTTTAGAAAACGTATTTGTCAATATATTGTGAATATTTTCTTTCAAGTAAATGTTTATAACTTTCAGTATTTTTAATGAACCCTTTGCCTGACGTCATGGAACCAAATCAAGATCAAATATTCATAACAACACCAGATCCCTCCCCAATTACATGCTGTTGGGTTGGCGGGATGAACAAAGATACGTTCGGTTGCTTTTTTTTTCAGGAGAGCTCTGGCACATTTTATTCCTTCAAGTACGAGGTTAAGGAGGGCGACTGTCCTGTTCAAAGTGGCAAAACCTGGCAAGACTGTGACTACAAAGAAGCTGCGGAAGCTGTGAGTTCATTTGGGGCTGGTTCCCGCACCTCCACTGTTCTCCTCCGAGCCTGCCAGACTTGTGTACTTGTGCAGGGAGTGATTAAGTTATGGTTTTAAGCCTGCTTGTGGGGGACCCACATAAATACTCAGACTGCAGAAAAGTCAAACGCTTGATGTCTATGTTCTTGCGTAGACAGAAAGGGATGGGAGGTCACCAGTTAAACACGGCAAAAGAGGCCCTCCCGTGAGAAAACCAAAAACCAAACCAGTTACTGTCGAGTCCTTTCTGAGTAGAACTGCTCCATAGGGTTTTCAAGTCTGTGACCTTTCAGAAGCAGATCACCAGGCCTGTCTTCCAAGGCATCTCTGAGTGGGCTTCCCATAAGAAGTGGACTCTAATGACCAGGCAGGGCACGTGGGCCACGCCCCAGAGAGAGAAGACATGAATGCTTACGTTGCACTCAAAGACTGGAAAGGGAAGAGGGTGGGCGCTCCAACCGCACAGGCCTTAGTACAAATCCTGAGGCCCTGGTGCTTTAGTGGTTAAGACCTCGGCTGCTAACCAAAAAGTTGGTAGTTCAAATGTACCAGCCCTCCTAGGAAACCCTGTGGAGCAGTTCTACTCTGCCCTATAGGGTCGCTATGAGTCAGAACTGACTCAAAGGCAACAGGTTTGGTTTGGTTTTGGAGTACAAATCCTGACTCTGCCTCCAATTAGCTGTGTGAGTGCGGGCAAGCTGCCTAGCCTCTCTGAGCTGGTGCTCTTCCCTGTAAAATGGAGATACCATTGACCCTGTCAATTTCTTGGAGGATGAAATGAGATAAACTATGCAAAGGACTTTGTTTTCATAACAAATGCCTAAAAGATGCCCATCAAAGCACTGTTGGTTCTGTTTTGCCTGGATTAAGGGGAGATTTTAGATGGTATTGGCCTCAGAAGCAAGCTAGTCTGCTCTTTCCACATTCCATGAATTTATGTGGTTTGAACATGACAGACACGTATGGTTATAAAAGAGCACTGGATTCTGAGTCAGGAGACCAGGCTGAGGTGATGGTTCTGCCCCCTCAATGATCTCATCTGGGAGGTGGGGAAAATTAGCTGCTGTGTCCTGCAGTGTCTCCCTCTCAGGGCTGTGAGATAAAGAGAGAGATGCTTTCCTCTGACTAGAAGAGTGTGTGTCACTTAGGAGAAGCCCAATGACTATTTCCTGAAGAATGACAAGACACACCAAAAACACTGTTCAATAATAATAATAATAATAAGTAAACTAAACTTAACCAAACCCGTTGCTGTCGAGTTGATTCCAACTCACAACGATCCACAGGACAGAGTAGGATTCCTAAGGAGTGGCTGGTGGATTCGAACTGCCGAACTTTTGGTTAGCAGCCAAACTCTTAACCACTGCACCCCAGGGTTCCAATAAGTAAACAGCTACCAATTATTAAGAGTCCCTGGAGGGTGCAAATGGTTTACACACTTGACTACTAACCAAAAGGTAGGAGGTTTCAGCTCACCCAAAGGTACCTTGGAAGAAATTCCTGGTGATCTACTTCTGAAAAATCAACCATTACAAACTCTGTGGAGCATGGTTCTACTCTGACACACATGGGGTTACCATGAGTTGGAGCTGACTCGAGGGCAACGGGTACTACGTGGTGGGCCCTCGACTCTGTGTTTATGCACTTCATCGTCCTGACAACCCTATGAGAAAGATGTGGCATTTCTCCTTTACAGATGATAACCTGAAATTCAGAGAGGCAAACGGACTTGCGGAGGGTAACAGTTAGCAGGTGGCAGAGCTGGGGCAGGACAACACTGGGTTTGACTCCAAGGTCCCTGCTCTTTCTAATAAGCTCAATTTAAGTTTATTTGGGGTGAATATTATTAATCCACTGAAATTGAAAGGTAAATCAGGACAGTGTAGCAGGCTGGTTCTGAGGCATTGCATACATCTTGGTGAAAAAGAAATCTCTCCAGGGCTCAAAACAAAGACTCAAGCTTAAAAACCTCACCTTTATATGGCATCTCCTTCAACGTTTCAGGAATATGTGTGGCTTATAAAAAAACAATCATTAGGCTACCAAAATATTCATCCTTGCGTCTGAAAACTCTGCTAGAAAAATCTTGACACGTTTCAAAAACAAAAAAAGGAAAGCCGTATTTAGTGACAGTCTAGGTAGACTTTGGGCGCTGGTGGCACAGTAGTTAAAGTGCTCAGCTGCTAACCGGAAGGTCGGTGGTTCTAATCCACCAGGTGCTCTGCGGGAGGAAGATGTGGCACTCTACGCCCTAAAGATTGTAGCCTTGGAAACCCTGTGGGGCAGTTCTACTCTGTCTTACAGGGTCGCTGTGAGTTGGGAATCGACTAGGCGGCAACAGGTTAGGTAGACTTCTCCACCTGAAAGATTAAGATAAATGCGCGCACTCTCTCTTCTTTCTTTTTAGGCCACGGGGGAATGCACAGCGACAGTGAAGAAGAAGAACACAAAGTTCATCGTCTCTACCCAAACCTGCCAGATTACTCCAGGTAACTCATACCTGCAGTGGGGGCGCCGCCAGGGAGAGAATCAACCCTTTCTGGTTTTGTTGGTATTTTTTTGGTGTGCCGGGAACAACCCAGGCCAGGCCTGCGCCCCCTGCTGGACGACGGCAGTAGCAAGACAGTCTTAGCCTCTGGGTAAGGGGAACAGGGAGGGGCCTTTGGAGCAGCAGAGTCTTGAGGTTGGGGCCAGGCTCACGCCAATCATCCCCTCAGCACTATTCCCCAACGCTCTTCTTCCTGTGACGCATTGTGTTAGGTGACTTGCCCAAAGCCAAGAAGACACAAGACCCACCCTCGATGGTGGGCAGCAGCCTACAGCGAGAAAAGCACAGGATTTGAGGTCAGACCTGGCCTGGAATCTTTCAAATTCCTTCAGCTTTCCTTTTCCTCGTCTGTAGAAGGCGGATAACAGTAATTCCCACTTCATAGGGTTTTTGTGAGGCTGAGACAGGGTGGTACGCCAGAAGGTGCAATGCCTAAAGCCATTGCTGCCGAGTGCATGCCAACTCTTAGCGACCCTACAGGACAGGTGCAGTGCCTAGCAACCATAATATTGTATTAATCATAAAAACAATAATAGCTAACATTGACTGAGGGCTTAAGATCCAGGCACTGCCTGAAGCACTTTACATGTATTAACTCATTTAATCCTCACAACAACTCCATCAAGTAGGTATTAATATCAGCCCATTTTACAGATGAGGAAACTGAGGCCCAGAACAGTTACGTTACATAATTTGCCCAAGATCCCAGAGCTAGTAAGCAGCTGGAAGAGTAGACCCACAATAAATGAAGTTCCTTAAGAATATAATTATGGAGCAACATAGCAAGAAATACAACCACTGCTAGCTCCTCCCCTCGTGTGGCAGAAGTGCCAAGTTCAGAAAAATGGGCACAGCGAGGGGATGTCAGTCGCAAAAGCCTTCCTGCAATTGGCCGTCTGTGTGGTCGTAGAAGCCCTGGCGATGTAGTCGTTAAGAGCTCAGCTGCTAACCAGAAGGTTGGCAGTTCAAATCCACCAGCCACTCCTTGGAAATCCTATGAGGCAGTTTTACTCTGTCCTATAGAGTCACTATGAGTTGGAACTGACTCAATGGCCCCTGACAACAAGGTAGAGTTTTAGTACATGACGACTGTGAAATAGCATCTTCAGGCCTCACAATTGAACATCACCATCATGGCAGTTGGATACAGTCTTTGTCATCCGTATGCAACCCACAAAAACTCATATCCCCTGAGGTTCCATTCCTGCAAGAAGTTGTATTCAGTGCAAAACAGTCCAAAATGGAAAAGAAATCACAAGTAATTGAAATCTCTATTTTAATTTTTTAAAATCTCCAAAATTATTGCCTTATATTGGAAAATTATTCTGTCACCTCCCCCCCAAAAAAAACAGCGTTCATATCTTTCTCCACCTCTCTCAGCTTCAAAGCCTTCTACTCAGCAAAGGCGCCTCCATCCCTTTTCTTACCCTATTCATCTTCTAAATAAAAGCTTCTAGATAAAAGAGAATTTTCGTATCTTTCCAGTGTAATTCCCCTCCAGATTTTTAACTCTGTCCATTATCCTAAGTCAACATGACTTTCTTAAAAAGGAAAAGGAACAAAGCTATGCATATTTACCCAGTAAATTTTTTTTCTTGGCATGCACATGAGGTCAGCACAGGGCTGTGGGCCCCTGGCTGTGAAAGCTGAGGACTCAGGTGGGGAATCATACATACCACTGACTCTTTCTGTGGCATTGGCCTCCATTGGCCAGTGTGTTGGGGAATATTTGTTGTCAACATTACCTGGTAATTTAATACAAACTTCTGTTTCATATTTTACATTGTCTTAGTAAAAATCCTTCATTGTCTCCCCATTCTTAGAGCAGACCATTCTTAATTCACTTCACAGGGTCTGTGAATACCCTGAAATTATGTGGGAAATGCTCTGAGTATGTATATTGTCTTGGGAACCTACCGCTGCTGTAACAGAAGTACCGCAAGCGGATAATAGCTTTAACAAACAGAGGTTTATTTCTCACTGTTTAGGAGGCTGCGAGTCCAACTTCAGGCTCTGGCTCTAGGGAAAGGTTCTCTCTCTCTTTGTCGGCCCTGGTGCTTGTCTCCTTGTCTCCTTGGTGACCTTCATGTACTACGGCATCCATCTTCCCTCATCTTCACTTTTTAGCTGCTTGCTTGATTTGCTCTTTTATATCTCAAAAGAGATTGATTTAAAACACACCCTACACTAATATTTCCTCATTAACATAACAAAGAAACCCCATTCCCAAATGGGATTATAACCAAAGGTAGAGCACAGGACTTACAACACATACTTTTGGGGGACACAGTTCAGTTCATGACATGCATTTTGCTGAGGAGGGGCCCATGGCTTTTGTCAGATTCGCGGGAGAGTTCATGACGCTTTGGGTATAGTTAACAGCCCCTGGCCTCGAGGGTGAGGTTCAGGCTCGAAAGCAAGAAAGTTTGAGGCCTGAGCTGTCTCTCCCTACCCTTCAGGCCTCGAATTACCCGTCCCCACCTCACACTTCTTCCTCAGGTAACATGTGGCTCATACGTAGTTCCTTGTAGACACATATCCCACACCTCTGCACCTTGATTCCTCCTGTTTTCTCGGGGAGCCTTCCATTTCTTCTCCCCACACCTTCGTACCTTTTTTGCCTGCTTGGCCGCTGTTCATTCTTAGCTCAGGCATCTTCTCAGGAAAAGTGTCTCTGATCTCGCTCTCTGCTCCTGCCTTTGCAAGCTCTTACTGAATTATCTTGAAATGACCTCTCTCCAGGCTCTACTTGTCTGGAATCCCCTACAGGACAGTGACCTTCACTAATGCATTACTATGTCCCCGCGGCCTCGCTCAGCACCTGGTGTCTTGTCGGTGCAAAGTACACACTGTTGAATTGAAAGGATGCGAAATATATTCAAAGGGGCTTTAAGTAACACTAAAAAAATAAATAATAATATTCTGTAGTGTTTTATTTTTTTCCTAAGTGGATAAATTCATGTATTACTTAGATAATTAAAAATGATTTTATAAATTAAAATAACACTGTATGAAAGATATTCCTAAGAGAATAATGGAGTTCCTGGGTGGTGCAAACGTTTAAGCACTTCACTACTAGCCGAAAGGGGGACGGTTCAAACCCACCCAGAGGCACTACAGAAGACAGGCCTGGCGATCTGCTTCTGAAAGGTCACAACCTTGAAAACCCTACGGAGCAGTTCTACTCTGCGCTCAGAGTCACCACGAGTCAGAATCCACTTGATGGCAACTGACAACAGCAACGAATGAATGCTGCTCTTTTCCCTCTGACGAAAATCCCTCTGGTGGAGTCCCTGGGTGGCGCCAACGCTGAAGAGCTCAGCTAGGAACCAAAGGGTTAGCCGTTCAAACCCACCTAGAGGCATCTCAGAAGAAAGGCCCGGTGATCTGCTTCCAAAAGATCACAGCCTTGAAAACCCTAGGGAGCACAGCTCTACTCTGCACACATGGGGGTGCCATGAGCCAAAATCCACTTGAGGGCAACTGGTTTGTTGTTTTGTTTTTGAAACCCTCTGACTGAAAAGCAGCCTGATGTGCTCTTCTGTTTTCCTAATTGCACGCTGCAGTCATTGGAGAGTTTGTTTCTCAGGGCCTTACTAAAGTATCTTATTTGTTAAGGGCCATGTATCTGAGTGCGGGATGATAAAGACTGGTTTTAGCCTTTAACCTGGCCTTCCGGCCTGCGCTTTGTTAAGCCGAGGGCCCTGTGATGACAGAAGAATACAATTGCCTCGGGTGTGATCACCCGATAGCGACAGACAGCCCCGACCTGCAGCCTGTTCTGCAGCACGCCATTGAGTACTTGAACAACCGCAGTGAGCGCCGCTACCTCTTCGCTGTTCACCGAGTGAAGAAGGCCCACAGACAGGTGTGTCCCCAAGCTTTCCTTCCCACGCTACCGCGGAAGTTTGCTAAATCTTTATGTCCAGGGCCTCATTAACTCAAACAAACCATTTGACTCTATTACACCGCTGGCGGTGAGGAGGAGCCCTGGTGGCGCAGTGGTTAAGAGCTCAGCTGCTGACCAAAAGTTCTGCAGTTCGAATCCACCGGGCCCTTCTTGGAAACCCTATGGAGCAGTTCTACTCTGTCCTATAGGGTGGCTATGAGTCGGAATCGACTCGACGGCAGTGGGTTGGGGTTTTGTTGGGTGGTGAGGAACTTTTCCGTGTTTTCATCTGACTGGCCCAGGAAACAAAGGGCTTTCTATTTCATCAGAGTGATTAGGAGACTGAAGTATGTAAAGGGGAAAAGAAGGCTAATCTGACCACTTGCTTTGAGGTTTGATCTGAAAGAATGGGTACTAAGCATTACATGTTTTTTCTAGAGACAATGAAGTGGAAAAGTCATTCTGGCCTTAAGATTTTAAGAAAACCGTATCATCACCTAGCTATCAGGGGTTAAACATAGCTCCAGAATGTTCAGGCGTATCGAAAAAGGTTGGCAGGGCTTTCTGGGTATCCTCGAATTTATAGTTTCTGTATCATCAAACAAGGAGTCCTTGGGCAGTGCAAATGGTTAAATGCCCCACTACTAGCCGAGTAGTAGGTTAGTGGTTCAAACCCATCCAGAGGTGCCTCAGAAGACAGGCCTGGCTATCTGCTTTTGAAAGGTCACAGCCTTGACAAACCCCACGGAGTGCAGTTCTACTCCGCAGACACAGAGTTGCCATGAGAATATTGTCAGACAGAAGTGTAAATGCCTGTAAATCTGGTCTTTTCATTGCTCCATTCACCAAGTCCTCACTGAGAGTTGACTGTGTCCTTTGTATTTCAGCCTCGTAATTTTGAGTGATTTGCTTTGGTTTGTAACGTTCCCTGCATTTAAGAGACCTTCCAACTTGCTCTCATTCGAGATGCGTGTTCAACTCAATTAGGTCCGTATATCACTCCCTGGTGGGCCTAGTCCCGTGTAAAGCAGAAAAAATCTCACTACCAGGCAATCTGGAAGCCAAAGGACACACCAGTGAAGCCCACTCCAATTCCAGTTTCTTTAATCCGTCCAGAAAAGCAGTATTACTATTCCATAAAATTCAGTAGAACATATTCTCTCTACAGCCTGACAGAGGAAAAATTGCTAGGTCTCACTTCAGGAAATCCGGTAACTCCATCTATAGAGTTCTTCTCATTTTCAGATGTGTGGGTGTGTGTGGTGTGTGTGTTTGTGTACTGCAGGCTGTAAGAGTCTCAAAGTGCTCAATACGTATCCGGTAATGACATTTTTTTTTTTTTTT